ACTTTTAGAATTAACAATTCAATGAAGGAAAATATGTTTACAAAGTTTGAGTAATTCAATTGTTGAAGAAAATTCGCATTAATTCAGGTAATAGATATGTACGTTGTAAGGTGTTAACCGACAGACATTTCTCGTTTAACTATTCTGCCGCACCTAGGCGCGGTAAGCCACTATACTATTCTCTAGCTCCCGCAGTTTACGTATTGCATCCCGGAGCAATTGCCTTGACAGCTTTCCGTTCGCCTTGGTTATGCGGATTCTCTGGGTGGTGGTATGGATTTGCTTCGGTCTTTGCCTCATATGCGGATGCTTGTGCTTGTTAGCGCTGAGTTCAGTACGGCGTAGACGGTAGGGACGATGTGCGGAAGGCCCTTTACGCGATACGGGAGCGTGGTATTGCAGAGAATTATTAGCGAGTTCCGTCTTTCGGTGAAGTAGGGTATGGTGACGCTGACCACATAGCCTGCAGATTCCAGCGGAGGGACAGTCCTTGCTGTGATGCGATAAGGCGAGGCAGTTGGTGCAAAATTTGTGTGCACTGGCGACCAGATAACGTTGGGTCGGCTGCATTGCGCGAAACACTTGGCATACCCGCAACGCGTGATGTCGTGCGCACAGACGGCATCGATTGAAATCGGTGGTTCCCTCTTCTGGCTGCGCCGCTGGAGTTATGTCAGTCGTCATGCCTACTTCGGGCCGGTGCAGTTGCTTAGGCTGTAGCGATGTTCGAGGTGCTGGTTTCGGAACGCTGCTGCAAGTATCCATCTGTAAGTAAGCCGTGGAAGTTAGACTATCAGTGGGGAGTCTACAAGGCAATTGAAGAAACGTGGGATCAGAATATTTTATTCATATACAGATTTTTAAATACATTTGAGCTAAGAGAGTCTGTTGTCAGGAAAGTGCTTAAAGGCTTTAATTATTGCGCATTTGGAGAAGTCAGGGGGGCGTCAGCCATTGGCAACGGGCATATTTTGACTATGGGGCGAGTAAGGGTGCCAGATTGGGTGCGTACGTCGACAACTCGAATATGTCCGTCTTTGCCAGGATGTGACCTTTCGATACGGCCTAAACTCCATTCAATGGGAGGTAAGGTATCGTCAACAATAAGAACGCAGTCACCGACTTTCGGTGCTGCCTGGATATTTTTCCATCTATATCTCTTCTGTAAATCCTTGATATAATCCTCTTTCCACCTTCGACTAAACTCGTGATATAACACCTTTACTTTCTCCCACCTATTAAGGAGGGACAGATGGTTGTGGTCGACTTCAGGGAGTGCTAAGAGGGGGGCCAGGCGTAAGCGCTGTTAGGTCTGTTGGGTCATGCGATAGAGCAGAGATTGGCCGGGAGTTTAATACGGCCTCTATTCGGACTAGCAGGGCGGTGAACTCTGCAAAGGTGAATTCGCTGGGTCCAGCAGTCCTTTTGAGATGCATTTTAAAACTTTTAACTGCGGACTCCCATAAACCGCCCATATGGGGGGCTCCGGGTGGAATAAATTCCCAGTTGATGCCTTGAGGTGAGTATTTCTGGATGATGTCTTGAGATACCTCCTTCAAAAATTCGATGAACTCCTTTTCGGTTGCTCGTTTGGCCCCTACAAAAGTTTTGCCATTGTCGCTCATCATCTTAGCGGGATAACCCCGTCGTCCGACAAAGCGAGCAAACGCAGCGAGAAATCCGGCAGTGGTCAGATCGGAGCACAGCTCGAGGTGGACTGCTTTTGTAGTGAAACATACAAAAACAGCCACATAGCCCTTCACCAACGTGCGCGATCTTAGCATTGAGGCCTTTATCTGGAAAGGTCCAGCAAAATCTACGCCAGTAATAGTAAAAGGCGGAGCATACGTGCATCGTTCCGAGGGGAGGGCCGACATTATCTGCGATTGCGTTTGCTGCTTATGGACCGTGCAACTTTTGCATTGGAAGATGCATTTTTTTATGAGGGGCTTAAGCCGAGGGATATAAAATTCCTGCCTTATAACTTGCTGCATGAGACGGATTTCTGCATGGAGGAGCAGTTCGTGCAGAAAGCGTGTGAATAGGATCGGGATTTTTCGGGAATAATGATGGGATGTCTTTCATTATAGGCCAAAGTTGCGTGAGCTAACCGACCATTCACGCGGAGCAACTCGGTTTTATCTAAAGACGGGTTGAGGGGAAGCAGAGAACTCCGTTTATCTATGGGTTTGGAGTTTTCTAGACAGGCCTTTTCCCGAGGAAAGTAGCGAGATTGGGTCAAAGCTATGAGCCTGTATTTGCTGTTACGGAGGTCATCGTGGGAGAGAGAGATGGAATTACTTGAACCAACCTGTCTGACTCAGTCTCGACGACACTGTATAAATTTGAAGGCATACGCCATCACTCTAAGTGCCCGGGGAAACGAGAAGAAGCGATCAAGGATATCGTGATCTTCCTCTGTGGCATGTAATGCTTCGATTCGGCGCAGTTCTGGAGGGGAGATGTTTCGGGTGGCCGGTTTTGGCCAACCTTCGGGTGGGCTTAGTAGCCATTCCGTGGCATGCCACCAAAGCGGAGAGGTCGCTAAGTCCATGGGTCTGCATCGTCTAGTGCCCAGATCTGCGGGGTTGTCTCTGCTGCCCACATGTCGCCAGGTGGCGTTTCCGACGAGATCTAAAATTTGTGCCGTGCGTCTTCCATGAATGAGGCGGTTTTTCTAGCCATGCCAAGACGATCTCGGAGTCAGACCAGAGTATCAGTTTCCGCTTAGAGAGGTCGAGTTGAGACTGCACTACGGCGACCAGCTTCGCTAGGAGAAGGGCGCCGCAGAATTCAAGTCGGGGTAAACTGGTGGTTCGGAGAGGCGCTACTTTGCCTTTGGAGACCAGCAGATGAGAAGAGGTCCTGCTACCGTTCGTGGTTCGCACATATATGTTAGCGCAGTATGCTTTCTCGGAAGCGTCGCAGAAGCCATGTAGTTCGACTTGGTCGGCGGGGACAAAATATACCCATTGGGGTATTTGGATGCTAGAAATGGCTTGGAGATTGGTTGCAAATTGCATCCATTTCATCAGACGGAGGGGCTTGACCTGGTCATCCCAGTCAGTTCCGTCCAGCCATAGTTCTTGTAGCAGGATTTTGGCTTGGATCATTATGGGCGTAAGCCATCCTGCGGGGTCAAACAATTTGGCGACTGCCGAGAGGATTTGTCGTTTTGTACTGGCGGACGACGCTGGGATGGAATCAACGGTATACGAAAACGTATCGGTTAGAGCGTTCCATTGAATCCCGAGCGTTTTAGTGGTACTTGCTGTTTCAAATTCTAGGAAGTTTGTGTCAAGCAGGTTGTCTTTGTTGATGTTTTTCAAAATTTCAGGGTGGTTGGCTGTAATCTTTTTAAGTGGGAAGCCTGCCGAATTGAGCGCTTGGATGACTTGAGAGAGGGATTCTTCGGCTGAAGGGAGATCATGACCACCGGAAAGTATATCATCAACATACGTTTCGTTGTTTAATATGGGCACCGCTAAGGGGTGCGTGGTTTGCACGTCATCTGCGAGCTGGTGAAGGGTGCGTATAGCGAGGTAGGGTGCGCAATTCAAACCAAACGTCACAGTTTTCAACTTATAATCTTGTATTTGGCTATTTGTAGATGGTCGAAATACGATTCTTTGATAGTCTTGGTCGTCCTTGTGCAGCAGTATCTGTCGATACATTTTTTCGACATTGCCGTTAAAGACAAATCGATACATACGCCACTTGAGGATCAATAGCATCAAGTCGGGTTGATATTTGCCTTGAGAAGATATCTCATGGGAAGTCGTTTCTTCCATATGGTTGAGGGTGAGATATTCGTTGAATACATTTTCATACAGGGATTTTAGATCGCCTTTTCTGAGCAAATTTCTTTCCATGCTCAGGCACTGTTGGAGGGCGGGGGTGCGAGACGGGCCAAGGGAGATTGGGTCTGGGAAGCTGGGCTTAAAGGGCAGTCTGACTACATAACGACCATCAGTTGCTCGTGTAGTGGTGGACTGATAGAATTTTTCAAAATTTTCATCGTCAGGCCAAATAAGTTTGGGTTTCGGAACCTCTTCAAGCTCCCAAAACTTTCGCAGCTGGGAATATAAAATCTCATTGGAGATCGGTACAGCTTGAGTAGAGAAACAGGCTATTTTTTCGGGGATTTGACCACTTAATATCCAACCGAAAATGGTGTTTTGTGCAAGCAGATTTTTGGAAATTTTCTCAATGCCTTCCAGCATTATTTCAGGAATGAGGTCACTGCCAGTGACCAGATCGATTTGGGACGGGGAGCGGCAGTTGGTGTCTGCTAGCTGGTGGTGAGAAAATTTTTCTCGTTGTTCGAGAGTTGGCTGGAATTTGGGAAGCATTTTCGTCAACTGGGGCAGGACTATTGCTTGAGCCTTTATTTTCGTGGTCAAATCTGCGGATGCTAAGATGAGGTTGCATAGTTTGTTCGAAGTCTGAACAACTCTTCCTCCCATGCCAGAAATTTCAAAGTTAGAAGCTTCGTATGATAGCCTTAGTTTATTTTGGGCTTTGGAGGAAATAAAGGTTCGTTCCGAACCCTGATCTATGAGAGCTCTGAGTTTGAAGATCTCGCCCTTGTGTTCAACTGGAACTATTGCTGTGGGAAGGAGAATCTTGCTCTCATTTTCCGAGTAGAACGACTTTACTCTTGCTCTGTTTGAGCACGAAGGCTCCTCATGATATGTTGCCGACCCAGCTGGACTTTGTGGGTTGGAATTAGCGGGCGTCGTCAAAGCGACCTGAGATGTCGTTCTTTGAGTTCGAGACTGCTGTTTTAGAGGCATGGGGGGCGTGTCTTCATGAAGAATTGAGTGATGTCGTTCTTGACAATGGGAGCAAGTATATTTACTTGAGCAGTCTTTTATCAAATGGGTCTGACATAGGCAATTAAAACAGAGGTTGTGTTCTCTCACAAACTTTCTGCGCTCCTGAGTTGGCAGGTGACGAAATTTGGAGCACTGAGAGAGAGTGTGTTGAGGTTTATTACACATTGGGCATTTGTAAGGTTTTGTGCGTTGTTCCGTCATGTGCGCTCGGATTTGGGAAAAGGAGTTGTTTTGAGAGTTCTGAGGAATGGGGGGTTTAGGGAATGGCCTACTGTTAGGGGGGGTTGGCCTCGAGTAGCTCATATTCGAAGGATTAGTCCGCGGAGGTTTGGGTGCACGAAATTGATCTACTCTTTCAACCACCTCGTATCGAGTAGTGAGGAACTGGCTCATTTGGGACCAATTCGGGAAGTCTTTCTTGGAACTGAGGGATTGCTCCCATAGGGCCACGGTGTTCTCAGGAAGCTTGGAGGTAACAAGGTAGATAAGAATGGGATCCCAGCTTTCGGTGGAGACTTGCTGGGTGCCTAGAATCTGGAGACAGTTGTTCACCGTTGATTGCAGTCTCTGTATGTCTTCGCTATTTTCTATTGGGATGGGTTTTAGGTTCATAAGAGTGCGGATTTGGTTATCTACTAGAACCCATTTGTTTTCATAGCGAGCCTTTAGTGCTTCCCATGAAAGTTCGAAATTATCGTCACTCAAAGGGAATTGTTTAACTATTTGGGCAGCTTTTCCTTGCGTTTTGTACCTGAGATGGTAAAACTTCTGCGCCTTAGTGAGCTTAGGGTGATTTATATAGACCGCCGTGAACATATCACGGAAGGACGGCCATTGCTCATAACCCCCATAAAAGATTTCGGTGTCGCAAGGTGGGACGTTTAAGCTTATGCCTGAAGTTTCCTGAGGAAGGGATGTACTGGCTTTGGGAGTGGGACTTGTGGTTTGTGCCACTAACTGGAGTTGGTCTGCGATTTGGGCTTTTGTTTCTTCATATATAATCAAACATGACCTATATTTACTGTAGGCAGACGCTCTAAAGTCTTCGGGGAGGTCATGTTCTTCAATTTCCAAAGTCGAATCAAAGGCGTTTTGAACTCTATTCCAAAAGTTTTGCTAGGCTCTTGTCTTTTATTTTCAGTACAGACTCAGTATTTTCTTCGATCGGGGCTGATCTGAATCGGGCGCAGTAATCCATCAAATTATCTGTCTCCGATATGAATTTAGTACATATGACCGATTGTTTTGCCTTTTTTGGCTTTCCGCTTGAACGCGTAGAGCGCTGAGATTCTGCGGGAGTCTCGAGAATTTTTTCTTCTTCGCTCATTCTGGGACTTTTTGACTTATCTTCAGTGCCAGTTAGGCCTAGCATTCGAAATCGAATAAGCGGACCTAATTAAGGTTGGGATTTGGGGGTGATCAAATACAATCGGGGCTTTACTGTGCGGTCGCAACTAATAGGGTTTGAAGTAATGACAGGTGAGTGCCTGGAATCTAAGAGAGTGAGGGAAAACTAATCAGTGAGAAAATTCTAACTTTTTGAGCCTTTATGAGGGATTTCGGATCAACGTGTTGGGGATTTCCACGCTTGACCCTGTTCACGCAAACCACAATTAAGATAATTTGAGCGCATTACCTATCTAATGGACTGTATTTTTTTTTTCGAGCACTGTAACCTTTGCCTTTTTTATGGGTATTTGTTATAGGGGTTCACTGTACGTTATTTTATTTGCTTTGTAGCGCACTTTCTTTTATATGCCCAATACGTAGTTGGGTATGTGGGTTTAAATGTATTTATGTATATATAGGAATAACTAAATTAGGGGTTAGTTACGTATTCCCAGCTATAATTCCTTGTATGTTTGTTTGGGATTAACTGATTAGCCGATGTATATACTATGAGCTTTGGTATATGAAGGGTGTATATGTGTATATATGTGTGTACGCCAAGCACTATTTGCTTGTATGCAACAAATGTTAAGTGAAGTACATATATATGTATTATTGCAAAGGCCTTTGTGTGGGTGTAGAAATTCGTGAAAATTGGCGCACAAAAATAAAATCGGCGGGAAGAGTTAAAATATGGCGGGAAATATGAAAATCTATGGCTGGAGCAAAGGAAAATGTATTACTTAATGGTGGCGTTTACTAAACATACAAGGAATTATTTTCTGTACTTTTAAACTTTTGTTTCACCGCAGGGTTAGTAAAAATTGATTTTTACTCACGGTTTTGCTGGGGATACTTGTGTTTTGAGGTTATGGATTTCTATTCCACCGGTGCGGCTCTTTGTTGGCGCCGAAGGACCAATATTTAAGGGGGTCGGCTCTACTTTTGGCTGCTGAACACCGGACGGAGATGGACGGAGCGATGTTGCGCTGAAGGTTAGCGAGGAGGACGACGGCTCCTTGTTGCTGGGCGTTGACGACGATGCTGATTTGGTCGTAATGTCGGAACTGATGTTGGTTGGATGGCTTGCTCCTACTAGGGTGACGGTGGCGGTGATTGTCTGCTGGCGGCTCTGTGTTACTGTCGTGGTGGGGGTGTTGGGTTGACGATGGTGGGGCTGCTGTACTCCTAGGGGACGAACTGGGCCACGTAAAGCTAACTTTGGTTGCATCTGGGCGCAACTCCAGGCGGCTTTCAAAAGCGATGGGGTAGTTTGGTTATGCGCGAATAAATAGTGGGCGACCGACTAGTCTGTTTTCGCCGAAATAAAAACCGCACGTGTAAAGTAAATATTATTTATTCCGTTCAATTGAATATAAAAAGGAAAAACTTAGATTTTTTGACCGTACCAAGTGGTTGGAAAAACTTAGATTTTGCGACCGTACCAAGTTGGAAAAAATTCTGTCTCTAATTTTTTTGTTCTTTGTTTTGACATTTGCTGCTTGCGCTGTATTAACGACTTTGGCGTTGCCAACTATGCATTTCAAGATGAAAATTTCTTTAGGTTTAGGGTTAACAATTCTTATCAATTCAATATGAGCAAATATAGAGATCATTAATTTGAATAGCGCAAAACATGTAAATTCAAATTTAACAATTGAAGGCATAAGAATATAAGGTTTAACATTTTTGAATGACTCAAGTTTAGTGTTAACAATTTTGAAATGATTTTACTTTTAGAATTAACAATTCAATGAAGGAAAATATGTTTACAAAGTTTGAGTAATTCAATTGTTGAAGAAAATTCGCATTAATTCAGGTAATAGATATGTACGTTGTAAGGTGTTAACCGACAGACATTTCTCGTTTAACTA